CCATCTGGGTCCAATGCAGAGCAGCACGAGCACAAGGGAGGGGTAGCAGCAGCTCAAGCAGCTGGTTTCTCTTCCCACCTTACATTGTAATGCAAATTACCTGCCCCAGGGCAGGTGCAGCAACCACACCCACAGTAATCAATCACAAATTCCAGAAGCCACCCAAAGACTGCAAGAGGCTTTGGGGGGACACCTAGACACAAACCATAACACCCATCCTCCCATTTTTGCAACAATTTTCACTTTTGAGAATAAATCTGACTTATATTCAGATACATTGCTGGGTTTGAGAGGAAAACCTGTGAAATAAATTTCTTCACATCAGAGCATCTTTCTATGCCTTTTCCTGTGTCATATAATTTGCAATATATTTTCATGGGGGATGTTTTTAAAAATTGCTGATTTCTAATAGAAATTTCTCTTATTCTGGGATGGCCCTATCCTTGTGGTTTTCAGCTGGAAGACAATGGCTGGGTGAAACTCCTTGTGCATCTGTACCATACCTCAGGACCCCACATATGCCAAGGAGACACTTGAGGTGGACCGTACTGCTGCCATGGTGAGTACATAGAATTTTTTCCCTTTTATTTCAAAAAAGGAGAGTATGTGCTAAAGAAAGCTCATAAAGAAAAGCATATAAAGAAAGCAAAATAGCTATTCAAAATATGCTCAGTTTGAGGGTGATTTACAAATTACATGTAATAATTGGAGTCAATTTAAGTTCTGTTCAGTGTAGATTTGTTGAAAATATGTGAAATAGAATAAAGTTCAATAAATCAATTTGTAAAAGACTTTATTTTGCTTCTGATAATGAGAACTAAGAAAGGGATGGAGGTCTTACAGATAATTCATCCCAATGCTGCTAGCCCTGTAGAGGTGAAAGGAAGTCTCAGGAAGTCTGGGACACTTGCCCAAGTGGCCAGCACATGCTGCAGCCAATGTGACCTCCAGGGCTGTGACCTCCCCTGAGCTACAGATATCACTATAGTGTGTCAGAAGAATGCTGGTGCAGAGGTGGTAGGAGAGGGACATAAAAGAAGGGTAAACACAGAAAATCATCTGACTTTGTACATAATCATGTATTTCAGGAGAGGTCAAACAAATTCCAATTTAGAAGAGGTACTTTTACCCAGAAGATACAGGAAAATAATGAGTATGATGATATTTTTACTAGAAAGTAAGATGTGAGAAATGATATGAAGAAATGTATTTTTAAACATAATACTGAGAAGTTCACTGTGTCCAGTTTTAATCCTGTTCTTAAAAATTTCAGGAACCATTTAATGTGTAGAATTTTCAACTTGAATAACTCTATATGCTGATATCTGCAATCTAAGCAACTACATTGAGGACAGCAATATGTAATGCAAAAACCATCCTTGAATACCTCTCATCTTTTTTTTTTAATTTTATTTATTTATTTATTTTTATGTGTGTGTGTGTGTGTGTGTGTGTGTGTGTGGCCAGCTCAGCCCACCAGGGGGCGGGGCTGGCTGGCATGTGGTGCTGGGGGATTGAACAGCAGTCCCTGTGCTTTGCTAAGCTTGTTCTAGTAGGTGCTTTAGACCACTGATCCATCTCACCAGCCCAATACCTCTCATCTTGATCTTCTAAATATGTACCATTTCTAGTGTCTTATTAATTATTATTATGCTCTTGGTAAAATAAAATTTAAGCTAAAAAAAGACAAGAAAAAAAATTAAGGTTTCCTGAAAGCAAGGAGTAATATTCAATTATTTGTCCAATCTTGTATAACTGTATCTGTTAATCTGAGCAAAAGATGTGATGATAAAAATAGATAATATAACAACCATTGTTAATTAGTTATTCATGTTTTGAAAATCTGTAACATGTGCTGTTGTATGCTACCCTGTTTCTGTCTTTGTTTCTGCTATTTGTTTTCACTTTTGTTTTTACTCTTAAAAATAAAATCCATTGTAAACAAATTCCAGGAACTTACTTATTAATCACAAGAAATTAGAGTCACCACCTGCGGAGGGTGAGCTGTGGGCTAACTTAGGTCGGGTGCTCACAGCTGCCAGCCCATGGCTAGCACTGCTGAGGTCCACGCCCATGGGCCGTTCCTGTCATTGCATGCTTGCCTGCAGTTCCAGCCTTAAGTCCAACCCCGCCCAACCATGGCTTCAGCTTTGGAGGAGTTATAGAATGATCTAGAAGAAGTAAAGGCATTGCTGGAAAAGGCTACTAGGAAGAGAGTACATGATACCCTTACAGCTGAAAAATCCAAGACTGAAACAGAAATAAAGAATAAGATGCAACAAAAATCACAGAAGAAACCAGAACTTCTTGACAATGAAAAACCAGCTGCTGTGGTTGCTCCCATCACAAAAGAATACACAGTGAAGATCATTAATTACAGATGGAATTAGTCAGAGAAGCTTGTGACAATCTACATGACCTTAACTGGAGTTCATCAGGTTCCTTCTGAGAATGCGCAGGTGCACTTCACAGAGAGGTCATTTGATCTTTTGGTAAAGAATCTAAATGAGAAGAGTTACTCTGTGCTTGTGAACAACCTCTTGAAACCCATCTCAGTGGAAAGCATTTCAAAAAAAGTCAAGACTGATACAGTTCTTATCTTGCATAGAAAGAAAGCAGAGAACACTCAGTGGGAATACTTAACTCAGGTTGAGAGAGTGCAAAGAAAAAGCAAAGCCATCCTATGATGCTAAGACAGATCCTAGTGAGGGATTAATGAATGTTTTAAAGATTTATGAAGATGGAGATGATGCAAACCGTTAATAAAGCCTGGGTGGAATCAAGAGAGAAGCAAGCCAAAAGAGATTCAGATTTTAAGACTTTAAAGTCCTTTTAAAAACTATGATTCAGAAATACTGATATTTCCACTAAGGAAATGTTAGTGAGTTGCACATAGAAATTTGACAGAAAGCTACAAAACCTTCAAATTAAAAGCAGTGAATTCTCCATTTCTTACTAGAAGATTTATTTAAATAAGATGCATATGAAGTACTTCCTCCAAAGATGGTTTCATTACTATCCTGGTCATTTTGTTTATGTAAGGGTTGCATGGTATCTCATTGAAATATAAAAATCAGGTGTTACCTAAGGAAAACAATACATTGTGTATATTTCTGTTCACCTAGGAGGTAGAAAACAGAAGTATATGCTTGCCTGTAAGTTACAGAAGTCAGCTCCTATTAATATAACAGTAAAACTGAATTTTTGTATAAAATTGAAATTTGTTAAGTTCCATCATTTAAATATTATAGGTGTGTAAACTCAGCAAAATATTCTAAAAGAGTTCAGTAGTCCATAATAGTATTGGGTCTTCCGATTCACTGGCAATGTCAGAAATTGCTTACTTGAGTCCCCTACAACTCAACATAACACTATGGCTTTACTTCTTATACTTCATTTTTATACTTTTCTGCTGGATGGTTAAGACCAAGGTAAAGTAGGACCTATGCAACAAGAGTTGTAGCTTTTGGGTCTGATAAGTTCAGTGAAATCCCCTCAGGATTTATCCTGAGATCCTGTACCTCAGATTGAAGAACCTTTGTCAGTATCAGCCATGTGGATAAGTCACGGCCATTGCTTGGACAATCTGCTCTCTGTGAAAGCCTGAGAGAATGTTTTCTCTCCATGTGACTCTCCTTAGGCACAGTCTACATCATTGATCACTTTCCTCTTTGACCCCATAAT